ACACGTAATAACGTAAATTTGCGAAAGGGCCAATTTAAAGGCATTTTTTTACATGTTGGCGGTTCGTTGGGACAGCCAGGTTAAACAGTGAAATTACGTACAAGATCAGTCCTCTGCCATCTCCAGCACTCACAACACAGTGCCCACCTCCCCCTTGGCAAGGGCAGCAACGGCGTGGAACAAAGGCTCGTTTTCTACTCATTCTAGCGCGTCTGACTGCCACTCCCCGGACACCCCAACTCTGTGTGTACTATCCTTACGTACACGAGGCTGTATTTACGTTGTGTTTACGTACTTTTACGCGCTTTTACGCGCGAAAACATCAAAATTATTTTTACGCATAAAAATGTAAATACCCTCAGTTTAATGGCGTAAACACCAAGTCTGCCCAAGTATGTGGAAAACATCGGGGGGCATGTTGTGCAGCACGGGAAGCGATCGGGACATATGCCAGAGCAGCCTACGAGAGGATTTGAGGGCGTTGACTTGGCTGCCGGTGTCTTCGGAACATGCTGTAAAGGGAAGTCCGCGGTTGATTTGGACCTGGTAAGAGCATGAAAGCGGTGGTTTCCGCCGCAAGTATTGCTTGATTTGCTTCAGAAGCAAAGGTTTCTGCATTCTAATTGTGAACGTACTCACTGGCATCAACCAGCAATCAAGCCCAATTGGTGCACCCGGCGCAGTTCCGTGCATCGTGGGCTGCTTCACTTGCATGCCTGTAGCGAAAAGCGAAGAACTCGATGAATCAAGTAACGCAGAATGCAAAGTTGCTTGTATCTGCTCACCGTTCTCCTTTGCTCGCCGCACCATAGCAACTAGATGGACGGATTTCAACGCACCAATTCCTCTCCCGATTTTTGATGCCGTGGTCGGAGTACATTAATGTATTGGATATCCAATATTGGATGCGTAGCGGCAGTCCAATCGCGGCTGCTGTTGCAGCTGCTGTCCCCCCGGATGGTGATTCATATGCACGATAAATGTGGGCGGCTTTGGTTTCCATCAGGGCAAATCCATCAAGGCCCGTGCCGCCCAGCTCTGCAGCACCATGGATACCCATCGCCCCCCACCCTCTCAAATGACCATTCACCCTTTCCCCACCACCCCCACCCCCACCCCACCCACCCCCCCACACCACACCACCACACAAGGGGCCTTGATCAAGGGCATTTGTCCCACAGTGCACAGTGCAGCAGGTGTTGGCAGGCGGTGGACAGCCTTGCTCCTTGAATAGCTTGGGGGCAATTGTTGGCCAAGTTGAAAAACCCATTGCAAGCTGTTCTGCCCAATATGCCCCAACTGAATGCCATGGAGACCGCAGAGAACATCAAGTGACGGTTTTCCAAGAGACTGCATGGCCCATATTGCAAAGCTGAAATTTCAACATGCCGAGGGACCGCTGTCCCTGCGGTCACTGGTGGTCATGCTTGGTCTTTACGGCTGCGAAGCTGAGCGTTTCGGCGTAGTCACAAGGAAAGCAGTATTTTCGTTTTATAGGCATAAATATGCGTAAAAATGTGTAAAGTTTTACCCTGTGTACATTGCGCCAGTACATCCAGCCCGGATGATCCAGGCTCAAGGAGCCCAGGGCATGGCAGCCAGACGCGCTGGAGTTGCCAGAGGACTGCCATTGGTTCGACAACATCGTTGCCTTTGTCGAGGGGAAGATGGATGTTGCGTTGCGGGTGCTTGGGCGTTAAGGACTGATCATTGTAACCGATTTGATCATGCAAGGGAAGACGCTATGTCAATTTTGGTATGCTTAAGTGTGCCGCTAAGCTTAGCGTCAATTCGACGTTGAGCAGAGACCCCCCCCCCCCAGTCAACAATGTGCTCTCCTGTTTTGTGCCTTGTGTTGTTCCGGGGCCCCCTCCTATAGCGCCCGCAATATTGGTGGAAAAATTGGGGTCTTGAAAAGGAGGGGTTTCGCCTCTTTACGTTGTAATGGCATCTTACTCACCCTCCTTAACGTCAATCCTTATGTCCCAGCCAGAATGACTCAGCAACATTACCTAACAGTGGTATTCAAATTCCAGGCGTTTCTAAGAAGGAAAATAACGAAAGTTGTGCGGGCTTCAGTGGGATGAAAATGGGATTATAAATGCAATTGTAAATGAGGAGGGCAGCCTCAATGCCTGCAAATTGATCCATTCTAAGGTCTTTTTTGCAACAGGATTAAGAACATGTCAGGGGTTGTGTGCCGTTTATCAGTGGCGCTTTTGGGCAATTTTATTCCTTATGTCGATTTTGTGTCAATTACATAATCTCTTAGCATAACAGGTCTGGAACCCCCCCTTTACCAACAATTTGACGCTAAGCATACCAAAATCGACATAGCGTCTTCCCTAACGTTGGTGTCTCTTGAGTCATGAAAATAGGCCAACACAGACTTCTGAATAGCCCCTTTTGCATATCAAATTTGTTACATTGAAAAGTGTAAACGTAAAGACCAAGAATGCTGCTGGTGGTGCCACAATACGTTGCTGCTTCATTGGCACAGGGGCAGATTGAAACACCAAGTCGCTTAACTGTCAGTGACTAGAGCCAGGGCCGCCAGCACCTTCGACCGGGCGAAACCTTAAAATACAAAAAATGTTTTCAATATGAACGCTTTACCGTACTCATTACAGTACTCATCATGGACAATGAAAAAATACGATTTTGCCGGGAGCCGTGGCGTCCTCATCGTCCTATTCCTACACCCTAGCCCACACCTGACCAGTAGAGCAGCCCTGTGTGCCAGAAACCTGGTGCCCGCCCTTTCAGCGGCTCCACCATCCCACCCCGCGCACCAAGCCGTCCCGGCATCGACGCAACGGGCGCGCACCTCCCTCCGATCGTCCCCACTGGTCGCCGACGCGCGCCGTTCGCGAAGGACGGATCAGAGCAGTGGCGAGATAGAGCGAGGCGGCGGGAAGAGGTGCGCGGCGGTGTCGAAATTTCTGTTGCGTTTTCAAATCCCGCCCGGAGTGGAACGGTGGAGCGGTGGTCGCCCGCTACCAACGCAAAGGTGCGCCATAGGCGCACCTCCCCCCTCTTTGGCCCCCTCGTGCGTTGAGCTTTGCTGTGATGGCATCCGTCTCAAGAACCAAACGGCCAGGTGCACGGAAATCGCACCCTGGGCACTTGGGGTCATCGTATTGTGCAGAATACTGTGCAGTGGAGCTCTGTCCAATTGACCAGTCTGCGCGCATTTTGCGAGCGACATCGCCTGGCGGGTGCAATGCATGCGTGTTGCCGTTGGCTGGGCAGCATCAGCCAAAGGCTTTGCGGGAAGCGCTTCCCTTGGACTTGAAGGTGATGGCGGGCATCATTGGCATCGCCACCCCAACTTCCCAGAATGGCCCGCATGGCCCGGACTGAACTGAATTGGCATTCATTGCACCTCGTACGGGGCGACATGAAGTTGACACATTTGTCAGTTCGTGAGCTAGCTGATCAATGTTTGAAGCAGGGATTTCTTTTGTGAGGGCATGACCGACCCACCGCAACTCTTGGGGTCCCCAGAGGCCCCGCGACGCCAGAAAGATTGCAGGACTCCAGGCCACAAGATGAACGGCCATCCTCGTTTCCTTATTGATCTGCATTCCTTTCCCAGGCAACTTGCAAAATTTACATTTTCCCCCACCATGCGGAAAGAGGCAACAACTGTGTCCATTGCTGCAATGTGAAAGGTGTACAAAGATTCTGGCCCGTGTCTCCACTGAGCTCAGATCATCAAGTGGCCTTTGCATCTCTCGCGATTGTATAAGCACATCACTATACTGTTCAAAGTGCTGAAGCAAGTCTCCCAGGACGTTTTGCTGAGGCAGCAGTTGTGAAGATCCGCTGCGATGGGAATGGGGAACATGTCAGTCAATGTGCAAACCCTCTACCAAGCAAAACTTGTCAAGGTTCTGTTGCATACTTTGAAAGACGAATTGGGAAATTCAAAGTCGGGGTGATGGGACACAACGCAGTGCAGCATGCGCACCTACCAAACATGAACTTGGGGACTGGTAAGATGAAAGGTGTGAATGCCCATGAAGCCATATTGTAGTGCCGGGCCCCTAGAAACTGGTCACCTTGCACAATCTGTACTCACACTAGGAGTGCTGTCCATCGCGAAAGAAAACATGGTGCCCTGTGCGATCAAACTTCATGTTTCTGGCCTTGATCAACTCCCAGTCAAAACCCACCCGATGCCACATGGCCGGTTACATTCTGCGACATACAATGCCCATCCCGCAAGTCGATGACAACAAAAACACCAGTTTCACCCAATCTGGAAGGGAAGTGGGACTGGGAGGTGCGAGCTGCATGGGATGCTGAAAGAGACAATAGCTGGTGGTACAACGCTGCATGCTACTGATGTGCGAAATGGGCAATGTGCGAAGTATGATCTTGGGACATTGAAAATTCCTGCTTGCATGCTTTTGCACCCCTCATCGGCAGCAACCTAAACGCCTTTGTTCGTCATTGTTTATGACAGCTCAACCCACTAGAGATCTTTCCACAGTGATTTGGAAACCTGCATTGTTATCCTCTTGATTCCATCCACCTTCTTGTTGTACTTTTGCCAATGTGCTGAAATAATAAAAGAAAATGATGGCGCCTGTTGTGCTATGTAGTATCTTGTTGTACTGCAACATGCCACTATCTTGATGTACTGCCCATTAGTTCATGTTTCCAGGCAGAGAAACCCTGCTGCCAACGGCGGGTTTGGGATTCTGGTTTGAAGGGGCACAAACTCCACGACTTCTGTCTGTTTCTGACAGGAACAGAACGGCAGCAATGGGTCCGCTCTTGAGTGCTGGCGTTTCTGCGCAACACAGTTCTGCCCCAAGCCTGATTTGATGAAATGGTGAATGCATCTATAACGGTTAGATGTGGGGAGTGGCACACTATTCACGGGATGTGTCTCTACTATGGGATGTGTCCGTGGGCTTGGTTGGCAAGACAGCACCAGTTGTCCCATTCTTTTACATTGGACTTCATAAAGCTTTGTTTCTGCAACAGGAATGGGAATTGACCCACGTTACAGCGACATCATCATACGGATCCAGTTGACAGACACTGAAAATGTGGACCCCAGATCTTCCCAGTGTGATGGACCAGTTGCCAAGAAGAGACGGACACAAGGCGAAGGTGGATCCCAATTAACGACAAAGGAGGCAGCTCACGCAGGGTCAAACCATCAGACACCGGCCACCCCGGAGGGTAGATGCCAAGATTTCAACGCCTCAAAGTACTGCCTGGCCACAGGATCGAAGTTCTTTCGGACCATGCTGGACAGATGGTCCCAAGAGCTCCAGCTGGGCTCTAGGTCGGTTCTAGAAGTCTGCCTCCAGGCCCACGAAATGAAAGTTTTTGAAGCACTGCTGGAGTTCATCCATCACAAACAGATCCCCACAGGGTTGCCTGCCAGAGAATTGATGGAACTCCTACTACTAGCAGACAGGTTTCTTGTTGATGGGCTGGTAGGCCCTTGTGTTGAGCTCCTTATCTCATCCGATATGCACATGGATTTTGGAGCTGTTGTGAAGTCGCTGTGCAAATTGGAGTGCTCTAGGCTGAGGGACGCACCTCCAATCACTACTCTGCTGGAGGAGGGAAGGCAGATGGTTGTGGACGTATTTGAAAGTGCAGAACAGATCAGCGACCCGTCGGATTGGTGCTGGGAGGCTTTCCTGGACCTGCCCCTGGCAGCTGCCAAGCATCTGTTGATGCAGGACGGCCTGGAGACAACTGCGGAAGAGGCCGTCTTCTGCCTTGTGTCTGACTGGCTGGAATGCAATTTTGGGCCAAGCGAAATGGGGAGTGATGCCTATTGCCAGGCAGCTTTGGAGCTAGGCGCTTGCGTCCGGTTCTGCCAGATGCATCCATTCTATTTGCAGGAGGTAGTCCCATATGTGGGATGGATGAGGAGGCTTGATTCATCTGATTGGTGGGTACGCGAGGCGCTCAAGTTCCATGACCAGAGGGGCTCTCCAGAAGCACTGGAATCGGTTGAGCGAAGGGTGGGGTGCAGATTCCGGCCCAGGACAAAGGCTGCATTCTCACATGTCCGCTTGAATCTCTATGACGATGCGAACATCAAAGTTCTCAGTGACGCGATGAGGCACAGGGGGTATGACTGGGAGCTTCGCTGTGTGAGTGAAGGTGGCATCAACGGGACTGCAAGCATCGGCTTGTGTGTAACGGTGCCGCACAGCAACAAGGAAAGGAACAGAACGTCGCCTGTTCTGCCTTCATGCTCTGTCCCCAAGAGGGTCGTTTTTTGCATACGCACAACCTCAGGAATCCATGAGGTGGTGTATGATTGGAAGGATGCTGCTCTGGGCGAATTTTGTGTATATGCTAAAAAGAAGAGAAGTTCACTTATTGACAGCGATGGCAGGATAGAAATAGAGATGGTGGCGGACTTTGATTCCAAAGATCAGCCCCTGGTCTTCTTCGCACCCCTGAGACTGCTTAGAACGGAATCAGCTTGATTTTGCTGGTAGGGCAGCAAGCTAACGTTTGATGGTGCTATTGTTGCATTTGTTGTAGGTGGGAAAAGGTGTGAGGATACTATGGCATTTGAGTGCAACTTCCAGATAGTGTGGCATTTTACCATGTATCTGCACCACGTGTCCCAGATGCAAGTGCTCACAAATGAGGGCAGCGCATTCATGACGCACAATCTGTTGCACATGTATTAGAATACCTGCATGTATGTGTCTAGTGTTGGTATTCATTGGTCAGGCAATCTTTGCTATGCGTTTGCTGCTTTAGCCTTGTTCTCAATTGACATGAGCAGGGAGACTTGGGGGGCCTGACTTTGGACGTGCCGTTGCAGAGCTGTGCACTGTAAATGTCAGGAGTTGTGGGGGCCGTGGATGTTCCATTGCTAGTTCATTATGTTTTCATGTAACAGTATAAATGTTCTACATAATTGCTAGTTGGCCTCTAAGGTTGACAAATTCGACATTTTGCAATATTCTAAGTTAGGAAAAGTTTGTCACTGACAAACGTGGCCAAACAAATACATAAAGCAGATGAACGCAAATAGACAGATGAACACTGAAGGAAGTTTGCAGATGATCAGCAATAGAGCACCGCAGGCCACATTTAAAGGGAGCAGTTCAACAGCGTTACATGAATGTTACGCCGGGTGAATTTCAAGCTACGTGACGTCTAGCGTTACGATGGTTGTGGAGTGCTTCTCTACAGGTCGTTGGCAACGCCTGTGTGTGCGCAGCCTGCACGGCAGAATCTGCACATGTCGTCATGTGCATAACAGCCGTATCTCTACATACCCCGATACGACCTGCCCAGCGGCCTGTCTGCACCTTCGCCTCACGGCACCGCGCCAAGTCGTCGAGGCCTCGCTGTTGGTGCCCGGTTGTCCGCCAACCCGCCGTGCGCCGCGCGGACGCCTTCGCGGCAACGCGCAAACGCTGGCGGTTGGCCAGTGGGCTTTGTCCGACCCATCCCGCGCAGGACTCAGTCCTGTGGTCCCATGCGCGGCGCAGCGCTGGTCGCCAATCGCGGCCAGCCAGGGTTTCTAAGAACGAGCCGCCGCGTGCAAGACAATAAGGGGCTCTTTTGTGATCTGTGGTGAGCAGTTTGAGGCCCTAGAGTCTGAGACTGTGGTGAAGCACGCAACATTGGCGGGTGGCATGGATGTGATGTCTCAAGCCTTTGCCTTCGCGAGGCTCCAGTGTTGGCACGCGAGTGGCGGAGAGTGGTGCGTGCCTTCCTCGAAAGCTTGGCCGTTTCTCTGTACACCAATGCAGCTTGCGGCCTCCCAGCTTGCACAAAAACCTCACCCATTCACAGCAATACGGGTTGTGGGTGTGTTTCTGTTGTATGGCGCGTTTTTCTGTCGATCAGTATTGTTCTTTGTCCCAAGATCTTCCCTGCGGATTGTGTGTGCGCCTGGCCTGGCGAGGGCCAGTCGCTCCCCAGGTTTTACTCCGTCATGCAGCCCGCTTTCGTCTTGCACGCCGCGGTTCGTCCTTCGAGACCGTGGCTGGCCGCGATTGGCGACCAGCCCTGCGCCGCTCAAGGAACTCCGGATTCGATCTTGCGCGGGATGTGTCGGTCGAAGCGCAACAGTCAGCGTGCCTGCGTTTGCGCGCTGCCGCGAAGGCGTTGACGCCGCGCGGGGCGGGTTGGCGTACAACCGGGGCACAACAGCGAGGCCTCGACGACTTGGCGCGGTGGCTACGGAGGCGGAGGTATAGACAGGACCCTGGGAGAGCCGCATCGCGGGATGTGGAGATTAGCCAGCTGGAGCTCCGCAGGCCACATTAAACGGGACGCAGTTTAACGGTTGTTCCTTGCATCAATTGCCACACACTGTTGCATTATTCCTTGCGACCCTGCACGACTACAGTCGCTGGGAAGCGGCAGCAAGTATTACCTAGGACGAGGAGGGTCGCATTCTGGGCAAGTGTGCCCCTTGCGACAACTCGTGGCAGCAACACCAACGTTCAGGTGCAACGGCTTTGTCTATTTTCCACACTCGCAGTCAACGATTAATGTACATGTCACAATGTGCCAGCGTGATCACAGCAGCGGCGCGGCACCTTTGCCAAGCGCGCGGTTCACAACACAACTCAACCGACAACGTTAGCAATTCGCCGCGATTCGTTCCCAGCGGCCAGCGAAAGCCCATCGAAACGCCGACATGGCAACACAACCTTTGCACACGTTCACGCCAAATTATCAAACCTAGTAAATGAGCAGCCAATTGACACTTCACGCAGCCCTGACCCTTCTTTGCATGCACAATCGATGCAGCATGCAATTCTCCCCCCAATTTCCCCCCCTCTGGCACTGTGCAGCACTCCTTGTCAGTCTTGCACTGCATTGTAGCCAACATGAACATGCCCAGCACCCTTTCAGGACAAACGACCAGCTGGCTCCGTACTTCACCATCACAGACAGCACCACATACGTCCAAGTTTGGCACTGTCCCCGTATACCTGTGCGACCGGAGCCATAGTCGAAACCGCAGGCCCTATTGGACGGCCGGGCCCATCCGCCATCCTTCTAATCTCTGACACTGGTCGAGGTTTTGCATTGGCAAGGGCTGCCCGCAGGTGAGCCTTCTGCTGGAGCAGCGGTTAATCACAATCGCCAGCATTGGAAGCTATGCTCCAGTTTTGCAACTGTCCTGCACTCTGTTCATCTGTGTTGGTGCGTTCTTCATTCAACTGAGGCGAAGTAAACTGTGCCAGATCTCGGCATGCAACATGGCTGCAGCTGCCACTTTGCTACTTGCATTCTGCATTTTATCCACTGATGTTGGGCCCTGCCCATTCGATTGATGCGAAATCCTTTGCAACCAACCACCATCGCTAATGCTTGCACACACCCTCCAGCAACCATACCACACCTGGCACCGCGCCATACCTGTCACACAAACTGTTAATCGACACGGGCCTCCGGCCCTTCGGTAGATGCACAATCGACTCCAATCATTGGCCACAGCAGAAATTGTCTCCCACCCTTTCCACAATGAAATTTCCATGCAACCGTATCACCACAAACAACTCTGCTGCGCATTGGCACTGAGCCACCTTTCAATGCCATTCAATTTACCTTCAGCCATTCAATCTACCTTCCAAACATGTCCCGTGGAAAAAAGTGATTTCCTTCATGGTCATCTGCCACCAGGGGGTGCTCCCACAGTGGGAGGCGCACCGACCATTGGCGGCCTGCCAGGCGCCCCTGTCTGTGGGGGAGGGTTTGGATTCGGGCTGTTTGACAGGCCCATGCCCCGGGGGCCTCCCAGAGCGCTGCACCAGTCGAAGATGCTGCACATGTCCGGCTCCCAGCAGTATGCGCACACATAACTCTCGGGGTTGATGCAGTCGGCACACTGCAGGGATCGGTGGGCAGCAGGGCTGCCGGCATGGGCCAGCAAGGCTCGGCGACGTGGTAGGTCCTGGGGCAGGTGCATACATGTGGGTCAGTCATTGCCCAGGAACATTTGTGGCGTTTGTAGCGCTGCGCACCAGTAGAAACAGTCTGTTTGCGATGCCAACAGCGATTCCACCCGACACAAATTGATACCATTGCAGCCACTTTTATACCATCCCAGTCACTGTGACGGCAACATTTTGTGTCAAAATGGCATCGCGGCTGGCATCGCAAACATGCTGTTTTCCACCAGCGACAGACATTGCATTGCTGATACTGATGCAGGACTGCACTGTACAGTACCAAGTGCCAGCAAACGAAAAGATCCACACTTTGTAAATACCGATAACTATGCTGCAGTGTGGCGCAGCATACTGCAGTGGAGTCAATCGCTAAACCCTCAACCCAGAACCAAAAAAATTACAAAACCACTCGAAAGCTTGAAGAATTTAACTCGAAGCACCCCAAAAACTTACACTCTACAGCGATCAGTGTCCAACAATACAACGTCCTATATACAGCTCGAGGCAGGGGTGTACCAGGTAGGAGTGTATTGCTGCCAGGCCTGTGCCGCCCGCAACAACTATGCATTGAGATGATAGGTCTTATCGCGTTCGCACCATCTCCTGCCTATGTCAACGTATCCATGCTACCAAATAACCGCAGCTTTACACACTGTAATGTGCAGCATGTCTACAAAACATGTTACTCATATTTAATGTTACTATCACACATTCTCCACACTTTCCTGCATGTTTTTCCTTCAACACTACCTCATACGTATGGATTATTCATTGGGTTCATTGGATACCTACGGGATGCGGGAACAGGCTCAGGACATTTCAGCTATTTAACCATCGCCCTTTAAATTGATGTAAACAAAAAAATGCTATCTAATTCACGATTGCAACCATGTGCGTCGACGTTCGTCAACCAACGATCAGCACAACAACTGTGCCTACACATGTTCACAGGAACACAGCAGCCAAGTGTTCAACAATGGGCTGGGAGCGCCCCACATCGACGCCCACCTTTCTTGCATCCCGTGTTCGAACCATCTCAAGCAAAGACCTGTCCTGTAAAACGGCCTTAAGGGCCTCTGGGTCAACCATCAGTTCCTCCGGGATATCTGTTGCGAAACCCACTCACCACTGCTTCAAAACACAGTTCAAACACAACACACGAAAGGACATTTTCAATACCTGCATTCCTGCTTCAAGCTACTGCAAGTTGGTCACCGCAAGCACGATTTGCACCATCATATTTTGCTCATTATCGCCACTATTCTCACCAGTGGAAAACAGCACGTTTGCGATGCAAATTGCGATGCCATTCGGCACACATTGACGCCATCGCAGCCGCTTTTATGCCGTCTCCAGCACTGCGACCACTTTGTGTCAAACTGGCATCGCGGTTGGCATCGCAAACATGCCGTTTTCTACCAGCGTCTACCGCCAACATTACTCGCACTCTGTGGCATTGCGAGCACTGCGAGTGTGCTGGACACGCAGCGCAAATGCATGGAATGGCGATGTGGATTCCTGCCAAAAAATTCAGGATTTCGCAATTTTTTCCCATTTTAATTCCACCACTTTGACGTGGCGTGACACTGTGCGAAGGTATACCCAAGGTTTTTTCGATCAAACGCAAAATTCAGACACAAAATGTATCGAATGCTTCAGTTAGTCAACACGACGTGCTGCCCCCAACATCGTAATTACGATGATTGGACAATGCATTGCGACACTATTAAAATAAGGGGTGTATTTTAAATACCGAAATCAGCGCAATTATTAGTCACACACAGGCCCATTAGGCTCCTCGCGCATACATAAACAGGCCACGCAATCTCAACACATCACATATAAATTACATCAAAGCGGGGAAATTCAACGGCGGCTTCGGTGTCACTTTCCATAAATGTTTTAAAGCTATCATTAACAATAGATTCCGTCAACATTAAAATCCATTTTTCGGAATTAGGCCAACGTTTAGTACTTTACAGTACTTCGTTGTACCACATTCTCTTGATAATGTGTTATTAGCATAGCACGATATTGCAATGCCATTCAAGCACCACAAAAATTGACATACCTTCCGTGCACATCACAGGTTCGTCGACTGTGATGGCTCACCAAGCGTCAGGTGAAGGAACTTTCCAGACAATGATAGTGCCTAGAGTTGTTACTGGCAATACAAGGACATTGCACGCATTTGTATATCGTATTACCATGGTGCAAACGCTACTGCAATGCCGTTCAAGCACCAGAAAAATGACACACCTTCCGTGCACACCACAGATTCATCGACTGTGATGGCGCTGCCATTGTAGACGGGGAAGAGCGCATCCCTGCAGCTTCCCAGCGCTGGTCAAACAACAGCAAGCGCACGTGTCAGATCAAAGAGCCACCGGCACCAAAGCTGGGAGCTTCTAACAGCTGTCGGCCCCCTTCGGAAGCGCGGCAAACGGCTGTTCATCGAAGCAACTGTGACTCAGTGCTGCTAATACTACAAGTACTCGGTACTCAGCACTGTTGAGTACTAAGAGATACTAGCGGCCAGGAATTTGTCTGAAAATTTTGCCCATTTCAGGGCGATTTTCTGCCAGGCATGGAAGGGGGCCCAACGCATGCTTGGTGGGAGGGTTTGCTCCAGCGCTTGACAAGCTGGTCGGCTTCCACAACGCATCCCGACACATAAGCACTTTGGGCCCTCACATTCTTTGCTCGTTCCTTTCACCCACACTGCACTCCTGTACTGAAAAGCGCAAGAAGGTCTCGTGAATTCCGTGAGACAGCTGCATTTGCCATTCCTCCATAACTGCAATGTCCCCGATGCGCAGACATTAGACTGGTACCGAAACCAGTACAGGGACGAAGAGCGGTGCAGGGACCGGTCCCTTTAGAGTTTTTAGGTTTCTAGGTTTTAGATTCTTAGGTTCAGGATTATTAGGGCATTGGATATATCGGTCTCGGTAGGGACCGGTTTATAAGACTTAGGGTCTTAGGTATCTTAGGTATTTTAGGTATTTGCGTATCTTAGGTATTCTGGGGTTAAGGTCCCGGTTGTGGCGCCTGTCTCGGTGCTGGTCTAATGTCTGCGTATCGGGAACGCCGTCCCCATATCAACTCCAACACAAAATCAAAACATATTGATTTGTGCCTGTGTTCTGACTGTGCTCACAAAATTTGTAATTTAATCAGACTGGAAAACTGTCCACAGCGACGACACGACGATGATATAATGATACACAGTTATGTACAGCTGATATACAATAATGAACACAGTTTAGTAACGCTCAACAGCCAATAAAAAAAATCATAACAAGCAATTGGCGGTTGACGCATGTGGATTGAACCGCACCTCGGGCCGTGCGCACTCACCTCCGCGCGGGTGCACCGCACCCACGATCGCCGTCACCAGCTTGGCCAGCAGCCCGCCGCACCTCGTGGCGTCCGTCCCGTCGTCCCCATCACAGGCCTTGGTGTTGTTCAGCACTGCGAAGGCGATGGCCCGCGATATCTTGACGTCGGGGTCCCTGTTCCGCGCCTTTGCGTCCCGCACGTAGGTGAAGTTGGAGGGCGTGGACAGGCCCACGGCTATGCCCCGAGCGCTCTCCGACTGGATGAGCACCTCAGCGATGCCGCGGACGTCCACCTTGCGCGTGTTGATGCGCTTTTGCAGCTCATTGCCCACGAATACTGGGGGGGCGCGCGACACAGCGCCGTCAATCAGCGTTGCAACATTGCAATGGACAGGTAACGAGGCCGCCATTCCCTGGTGCCCGCCGACTCAGAGGATGGGGGCAGTGCTGTGATCATTGATGGAGCAACATGGCGCCATTTGCGGACAGAAGAGGGCGCCGTTAATGGAGAGAACGAGGCGCCGACAGTAGACGGGGTGGGGCCAGTGCTGCGGCAATGGATGGTGTCCTGTGGTGCACGCAGGTCTCGCTTACACAGCGCCGTTAGAGGGAGGAGCGACGCTGATGGTGCGCCAAATGGGACCAGCGATTTATGTTGTTACTGAAGCGAGTCCAGGGGTGTGCGCATTGGTGTACCGTGGGCATTAAAACCCCTCCGCATCAGAAACTTTTGCCGTTCCGCTTTCTGCTCCGCACTTTGTTTTTCAGAGCTATTTGTATTATTATTACGTTACTTCACTTAATATCTATTGAACGAGCGTCATTTATTATATTGTTTTCTCCGTTGAAAGGGCCAAGCGTTACGATACAATGTGGAAGGGTTCAAAAACCTACGGTAGGAGCAGACCGCGAGGCCGTTGATCAACATCTACAATAATTATGACGTCAGTGTGCGGGCACCGGCTCAACATTTATTCCTCGTTAGCATCCGTCTTGGCCACAGACGCCGCATTCACGTACAAATGCACAACAATCATGAAGTGGCCCTAATTCAATCTTGTCGAAACACAATCCCCTTCCTGGTGCCATACAGGCAGCGGTCCTCCAAATGACGGATGCCAAAGCGCTCGTTACTCTGCATTCACAGTTCAGTATTCCGTCGCAACCTGGCGCTTGCAGCCTGGTATTGGATCCAAGAGCGTACTGGGAACAGCATTGCCCAAGTACACGCTGCTTTATTTTGGACAGTAGCGCGCGTCCATCCACGGCATGATGTAGTACTTGGATAAAGAGCATGTAGCCAAGCACTACATCATATTGCGGACAGACGCGCTCAGCTAGGATGGGGGATTCAATAAAATAAATAGAATATAAAGTAATACAGTGTATTAAAGTAAGCAGTAATATAAAGTAAATGAATAGATATAAAAATGCAAATGTGACGGGGGCTTAGGAGCGGTTGTCGATTGTAAGAGAGCTGATGCTTTCGACCTACAAGCCTCGCAGTCGTCCTTGTTTGGAGCGCCTTCACACTGAGCCTCCTGCCGACCTGTGGGCAACAGCTAGTGCTGTCAAACAGAAAGCAAGTGGCTGGACCTGCATGAACAGAATCGATCTTTCTTGACTATTTAGGGGAGACACTGTGCCGAAATTGTTAGGCCTAGCGTCAATTTGAAGCTAAGAAAAAGGGGGGGGGGGGAGGGCGCTAAGAGATTACATAATTGCAACGAAATCGACGTAAGCTTGTAAGATACCCAAAAAGCTGCGGGAATGTGCCAATAAACACATGACTTGTCTCAAAACTTTCCTTTGCCGTTCAGTCCTTACAAAAAGCCCCACAAAATCTCGATTGGCGGCCTTCAAAACGGCCCGCTGCCATCTGCTATAGCCTTTGGCATCTCAGTGTTCCGCCCACTAAAATTGCCCCAGTTTTGGCTCTTTTTCTTTCTTCAAAACAGAATAAATTCGCAGCACACCATTACGTAATGATGCTGAGTCACCCTGGCTTGGACATAAGAATTGGCGTGCGGGGGGTAAGATTTGTTGCAAAAGAGAAAGAGAAACAGGCCATACAAAGAGCACCCTATGAATAGATGATATAGAGCCTCCGGACCAAAGATGAGCACGCAACAGAAGCAAGTCATAGGCAAGAACAACAAGCACTCGGGGGGCCCGCATGAAAGGCAGAGAATGTGCGGAATGTGCAGAATGACGCCGGTGGGGGGAAGCTTAACGTCAAATTGACGCCAAGTATAACGACATCGACATGGCGTCTTCCCTTACTTGAAGCGATGGATATGAATATGATGCAGCGATCAAAATCAAGGCAGGGCAGCAGGTGGCACGCAGCGGCAACGGTAATGGCAGCGTTAGAGAAACACAATCGGCATGGGGAACGGGGCATTCGATGGGGATGGCATCGGCGGGCGAAGCAAGCCACAGATGAAGGCCCCAGGACCATCGGATTCACATTATTGCATAGCCGTGCTGTTGTGCAATTGGATCTTGCACGTCGGTACACAATAGCTCAACGTGGCAATAATGATAGAGCATACTCTCGACGGCATTTGCTGCAGTGGACAGATCATCGAGCTCGAACGTGCTCAAGCACAAATTTGCCCAGGGTTCTTTGGTTATCACACACATTCACAGCATCCCTACAACCAGCATTACCAACATCGATATCATAGACTGCAATCAAACAAAAGAGGCCTTCGGGCGCACGCCCACCACCCCTACTTCTGAAATCCTTCCTCTTCTTCACGGGACGAGGCGCAGCGGGTTGGGCCGACCCCGATGCAGCACCGACCGGCGGGCCAGGTGGCAGTGGGCTGGCGGGCGGCACCGGCGGTGGGCTGGCGGGCGGCACCGGCAGTGGGCTGGCGGGCGGCACCGGCAGTGGGCTGGGCGGCGAGGGGCTGGCCAGTGGCGAGACGGGCGCCGGGGACATCGGGGGAGGCGATGGCGTGGCGGCGTCCATGCACCAGTAGAAGACGCTGCAGACGTCCTCCTGCCAGCAGTAGGCGCACACGTAGCTGTCCGCGTTGTCACAGTCGGCACACTTGAGGGACCTGGGGCTGAGCAGGCCACGCAGGAAGCCCAGCAGGCTCCTGCGGCGGGAGGTGTCCTGAAGGGTCGGCCAGTGGGGGTCCATTCGGTCAGTGGGGCTGGCAAGAAACCGGGGATTTCTGGGAATTGGATTCTGATTTTGAACTGCGCAAAATTGGTGACCATCGTGCCATGGTGTTGCGAACCTGGACACCGTCGATTGTACTCAGATTGTATCGATTAAGATCCAACAGACTAGCAAATACATACGCCTTATTGCAAGTCACGTTCAATGATGCATCAATACACACAAAGAAACCAGTAACAACGAAACACCCAGCAAACATTTCAGATTGTGTAACGTCAACATACATCCAGGCACCACAGTCGCAAGAAAGCGCACCAGTCTTGCATCTCTCCGCCTAACCGCTCTCATTAAGGTCCTATTTGAAAGTACGGCCCTCAACTCATCGGAATCCACCATGAGCATAGGCGGCGAGTCTGCACCACAATTCGCAAAATTTAAGCATCTGGTGGTACCCTCCGCACAACTCAACCTAACACAAAAAAATATAACAAAAATATGGCAAAAATATAACAACAATATAACAAAAATATAAACAAAACATAACAAGAACATAGCAGGGGAACACAGCAGAACAGTTGCACAATCAAGGGCAGAATGCGGAGCATGGCAAAACGACGAGCACCGCACACTCCCAAAGCCCAATCCCCACCTTCGGTGCAAGCTAAAATCTCTTCGATGGTGATGGCCGTGCCATTGTAGAAGGGTCTAAAAGTCCTTGTGCAGTTCCGTTCTGGCTCAACTGCCAAAACAGCCCACCACGAGAACGGCTAAGATCACACGACTTTAGTCTTCGTCTTCATGCAGTTTGAACTGCCATTGCAGTACAGCTGAGCTGCACTGCCAACAAAATTTCAGCAATTCGAGACACCGCGAAAGCTGTAGAAACTGTGTAAAGCAGGCATACCCTTGCCAGTGCTCAGCACAAAACGGACAGAGATGCTGAGCACCGTTCCCACCACTGATACCACAGTACCATTGCTGGTTCACACTGCACACCTGGTTGCATATGAGTGCACACATCCATGTTGACGCTGGCATACTCAAGGAAGCCACAGGTCCAAATCCCAATCAAGACGTTGTATTTTGGAGCTGACCCGCAGATGTTCAATCTTGAAGAGTTTTCAACGTTTAACATGGTCCAAGGACACCTTTTCTAATAACAATGAAAAATTGCAATCGAACGAAATACAATCGCGCAACACCATCATGATGGGCGTGTCATAAATTGTAAGCCACAGTTGGTTACTCAGTGAGTCACTCCTCTGTTGGTAACTAGTGGTGCAAGGATCAGTACTTTACAGTACTTCTGTACTTCCGTACTTTCAGTACTTTTCAGTACTTAAGTACTTGCTTGGCCCCTTGCTCCTGAAAGAGTGTGCAGGTCCCCACCTCTCAGCGGATGCACCGCCAACACGATCGCCTCGACCAGCTTGTCTAGCAATCCATCACACACTGTGGCATTCATCCCATCGTCATCCTCGCAGTCTGCCGTCCGGTTGTAAGCAGCCAGTGCGATGGCCTTCAACGCCTTCACATCAGGGTCCTTGTTCCTGAAGGTCTGATTCCTGACAAAGGTGAAGTTGGACGGGATGGAGAGGCCGGCGGCGATGCCGGCAACACTGTCAGACTCGATGAGCACCTCCGCAACTTGTGCGACTGTGGAGTTTTCGTTGAGGAAAGCACTTTGCAGCTCATCGCCAGTGAAGGCTGTGGGGCAGGAGATAGACGAACATCAGCAGTAATGTTGGAACTAGAACGGAAAGCGATGCACAGTTGGTACATGGTGGTGCTTTGCAGTATATAGCAGTCTGGTGTGGCTCTCAGTGATTAACATTAACATTAATATAGATACTACATCGTGAGGCCATTTTGCATGGAGCAACACCACATCAAGTCGCACGTTGCACAGTGGACTCACCGATTGTTCACACAAAGCCAGTGGGGTTTGGGATTGTCCAGCCCCTCTACAGTTGCCATGCGCACCATGCACATCGGAACAAAGAGCGCGACTCACCAATCAAGCAGGCAGTCTCATTATCAGCGCCGCCACATCGCGCCTCCAGTCGACCTGTAGATGGACAGCGCATGCGAAAATGACCACCAGCATCAACCTTAGGTCTTGAATGCAAGCAATATGTAGAAAATAGAATTTTGAACAACAAAAATAAAAGTCTCGACTTTAAAGGCACTCAAGCGGAATGGAACAACGATATAATTGCCTTCCAGCTGGCCACCTAAAAATCAAATCTTTTTGCGTGGAATGGTAATTAACCAAACCAATATGAAGCAAGAGTTCAAGACAGTCGTCACTGCTCAGCACAAAACTGCTTGACAGCCACGCACTCCTGAAGTCTGGCCTCGGAGGCCTCCTTGGCGGAGGAGGGGGCCTTGCCGAGGCTGGCCTCGGCACTGCCGGCCTCGGCGATGCGGGCCTTGGCGATGCGGGTCTTGGCGATGCGGGCCTTGGAGATGTGGGCCTCGGAAACGTGGGCCTCGGAGAGGTGGGCCTGGGCGGGACGGGTCTTGGCCTCGGCCTGGGTGGAATCGGCCGCGGCCTGACGGGCGGCCTGAAGCAGTACCCCCCGTTGAAGGTGGGCTGGCAGCGCCGTCCGGGGCCGCAGGTCACGGCGCAGAACCGGCAGCTGCAGCGCGTGGAGTCCCGCCCAGAAGGCACGCAGCGGCAGCCGAACGGGCACGAGGGCGAGCACCGGCAGTTGCGGCACTGGGATCCTCCGAAGGAGCCGAACGGGAAGCCCGAGCTGGGCAGGCAGTCGCAGCGGCGCCTGGGACAGAATCCCCCGCATCTGCAGTTTCCGCAGACGGCCCTCCCGCTGGGCCCAAACACGCACTCGCAGTCGCGGCCGCAGGGGGGATCGCACACCGGGCACTCGCACTTGGCCAGCGCCGCTGGGCGGAAGAATCCAGGCAGGCGATCCAGGAATGACGTCCCGATTGTGGGCACACATCGGCATCGGGATGGGCAGCCAGGGCAATCCGGGCAGGCGCAGAAGTCGTCGGCCAGGCAGGCGCAGCGGGGAGGGCAGGATCTGCAGTCCGGGCGCGGGCACAGGGGGTCGCAGATCGGCGGGTCGAAGCCGGTGAGGCAGTCGCAGCCGTCGCGGCAGGCCGGGTTGCAAACACTGGGGGGGCAGTGGCAGGCGGTGGTGGGCCGGCCGTCGGCGCCGACCGCCGGCAGGCAGGTGCATTCGGAAGGGCAGGACGGATCGCATCTGCAGTTGCCGCAGGTCGCCTGGCCGTTGAAGCCCGGGAAGCAGTCGCAGAGGTCTGCGGGGCAGGAGGGCGGGCACTCGCAGTCGCAGCTCCGGCCGCCGTCCGCGTCCCGGCGGCACTCGCATCCTGGGCCGCATGTCGGGAAGCACAGAGCTGGGGGGCACTTGCACACCGCGCCACCCCCGGCGCCGGGCTCGCAGCTGCAGTCGTCGGGACAGGGCGGATCGCAACGGCAGCTACCGCACACCGCCTCGCGGTTGTCCCCGGGGATGCATCGGCAGGAGTCGTCGCAAGAGTCGTCGTCGTCGTCGCATCGGCAGTTGCCGCATCTCCGCCTGCCGCTGGCGTCCGTGACGCACTCGCATCCCACTCCGCACGGTGGGTCGCATTCCCCCGGCGGCTCGTCGCACTCGCAGGTCGTGATCGGCCGTGCGGCCTCGTCGAACCCAGGCACGCACTCGCAGCCCCGGCGGCAGGGCGGGTTGCACCGGCACTCGCCGCATGTCGCCTGCCGATCCGCCCCCGGCACGCAGTCGCAATTGCGCCCGTCGCAAGGGGCCCCGCACTTGCAGTTGCCGCACTGCCGCGACCCGTCGGGCGCCCGGATGCACTCGCAGCCCTCTCCGCACGGCGGGTCGCATTCCGTCGGCTCGACGACGCAATCACATTTCGTCGTCGCCTTTCCGTCGTCGTCGAAGGCCGGGATGCACGCACAGCCTTCCGGGCACGCAGGAGAGCACCTGCACTGCCCGCAAGCCGCGGCCCCGCCATCAACCCCGCAGCTGCACCTCTCGAGCGGGCATGGCGCCGCGCACTCGCAATTCCCGCAGCGCCGGGACCCGTCCGACCCGACGACGCACTCGCAGCCGGGCGGGCACGGCGGGTCGCACTCCTCCGGCGGCTCCCCGCAGTCGCACCGCGTCGTCGGCCTCCCGCCCCCGTCGTCGTCTCCTCCTCCCCCGTCGTCGTCGTCGTCGCCCTCTCCTCCCCCTCTCGTCACGCACGAACACCCCACCGGGCAACCAGCCGCGCATCGACAATTGGCACAAGTCGCCTCCCGCTCATCCCCGGGCAGGCAATCGCAAAGCTGCAAGTCGCAGCCCGACCCGCAATTGCAGTTCCCGCACCGCCTGCCGCCCGTTGCGGGATCGAACAGGCACTCGCATCCCGGACCACACGGAGGGTCGCATTCCGCGGGCTGGACTTCGCAGTCGCAAGCGGTCGTCGTGGTGCCGTCGACCCTGGCCGTGGGCACGCAGGGGCAGCCCTCCGGACACGCCGGCGAACACTGGCAACCCACGCACTCCGCCGACCCGTCCTCCCCGGCCCGGCAGCCGCACATCTTGGAATCGCACGGAGGCGGGCACTTGCAGTTGCCGCACTGCCGCGACCCGTCGGGCGCCCGGATGCACTCACAGCCGTCCCCGCACGGCGGGTCGCAGTCCTCGGGCTCCGCCACACAATCGCATTTTGCAACCGCGCGACCGAATTCGTCGAAGCCGGGGACGCAGGGGCACCCGGGCGGGCACTCTCCCGGACACCTGCACTCGCCGCATGTCGCAATCCCATCCTCTCCAGCCAGGCAGTCGCAGAAGCCCTCAGGGCACGGCGCCTCGCATTTACAGTTCCCGCACCTCGAGCCCCCGTCCTCTCCCGCGATGCACTCGCAGCCGTCGCCACAGGGGGGATCGCAATCAGCCGGCTCCACGCCGCAGTCGCACTTGGTCGTCGTTCTGTCGTTTTCGTCGACGAACGGCACGCATGGGCACCCGGCCGGGCACCCCCCGGGACACCTGCACTCGCCGCAAGTCCCGTCACCCTCGCTGCAGGCGCACAGATCCTCTGGACAGCCCGCCTCGCAGATACACTCTCCGCAGACAGGCGACCCGTCCACCCCTTCAATGCACTGGCAGTTCGGGCCACAATCTGGGACGCAGACGTCCACAGGGCACTCGCAAATAGGCCCAGACTCCGCGGAGATGCACTGACATGGAGGCTGACAATCGTCCCCACAGACTGCCAACGGGCACTCACACACAGGCCCTGATTCTGTGGACAGGCACTGGCATGGAGGCTCACAAATGCCCTCACAAATTACCAAAGGAGCCAACAACGGGCCCTCGGCGGCTGGTGCAGGTGGAATCACAGCCTGGGGGCCAACAAAGCCGTCGAAGGGCGATGGAGCTGGGCCCAGGTCAAGCGGGATCGGCTCTGCTGGGGCTTGTGCCAGCGTGTCATCAGGTTGCGGGGCGGGTTCTGGCGCGAAGAACACCCCAGGGCCCAATCCAAAATCGTCAGGAGTGGCGGCAATGGGCTCCGAAACGGTGGCATCAGGAGGTTGGGCGGGTGAAGGGGTTGGCTGGAGACCCGGTGCAGATGCAGGAGTGGCGGCACTGGGCTCTGAAGCGTTGCCAACTGGAGATCGAGCGGGCGAGGGTGTGGGCCGGGGGCCTGGAGCAGATGCCGGGGTGGTGGCGGTGGGCTCTGAAGCGATGCCAACTGGAGGTTGGGCAGGCGAAGGAGTGGACCGGGGGCCTGGTGCAGATCCGGGAGTGGTGGCATTGGGCTCTGAAGCGATGGCGTCAGGTGCTTGGGCGGGTGAAGGGGTCGATTGCGGCCTTGGTGCAGATGTTGGAGTAGATGCGATAGGGCTTGAAGCATTGCCAACGGGAGATTGAGCAGGCGAGGACGTTGACTGTGGACCAGGCACAGATGCAGGAAGGGAGGCGGTCGGTTCTGAAGCGATGCCAACTGGGGGTTGTGCAGGCAAAAGCATAGACTGAGGCTGGGGAGCTGATCCAGGAGTGGCGGCACCAGGCTCTGAAACGATGCCATCCGGAAGCTGGGCAGGCGAAGGTGTGGACTGGTTGCCTAGAGGGGCATCGACAGCCTCAGGCTCCGTACCCGTGCCATCAAGGGGCTGCTGCGGAGCCAGTGCTGGTTGAGAAGCAGCAGGCGATGCAGGCTGGGCGTCCGGCGGAGACGCGGTGGGGCCGGACGGCTGTGGCTCCAAACCGCTGCCGTCTGTAGGTCCCAAGATCGGAGCAGCCTGGCTCTCTGAGGGAACAGGAGGTGAAGGCAGGCCCTCAGGTGCCTCTTCAGGCAGAAACAGGACAGCAGGCCCCAGTCCAAAGTCGGTAGGTGGGTCAACCGGTATGGGAGATTCTGCCGGTAAGGGCGGGAGAGGCACAGGGACTCGGTCCGCGTCTCCTGGAACAGATGTCGGCTCCTCAGATTGCGTGGTTGATGGAGGCAGCGGCCCAGACCCCACAGGGGGGTCCCCAGATATTGGCAGGGGAAGAGGTGAGACTGGGCTACCTGCAGGAGGCAGCACAACTCTAGCATCGTCAGGCGGCTGTCCGGACACACTTTGGGAAGAGGATGGCACGTCCACCACTGGAGTAGCATCAGACAGACAAAACAGATGTGGTTGCTTATGGTGCAGGACATTCATTGCTTCTCTGTGACAATCTGCTTAACAGGTGTGAGCACGTCGCTCTGCCACGTTTTGACCAAACTGATGCTGTTGAATGGACACCTGATCAAGCCAACCCCTTTGATGGCCGGGTAGGCCTGGGCCCTGGCTGGTGGCACCTGGGAGCTCTGTGGTTGTGAGTCATGGAAGGCCCACAAGACTATAACCTGGTCTATTTCAAGCAATAAGCCAAAGCTGCGATGGATGACTGGAGCTTGTGTTGCTCCGAGCACTCCATCCAATTGACGATATCTGTCAAGCCCCAATACAGCAATTCTCAATATCATTGCTATCAATGTCATCATCAATCACACTGTGATTAGCATCAATACTGCAAATACTCCTAATACTATTGCCTTCAC